GTACATCTGCCTTTCTAATAAAAATCTTAAAAATCATTAAACAGTGGAGAGAATCAAGATGGCAGAATAGGATAAGGACATGTTTAAATGGACAGAGAAACATTTAATCAGGATGAAGCAGAGAGGACACATTCCAGGAAATAAGAGAAGATAAAACAACAGCAGAGGGGTACCTGAAGACTGACAGACACAGGAAAGCAACAGACACAATGGTGTGGTACTTCAGTGGCATTCAGCTAATGGCAATCTGAACTCCACCAGCAGCCAGAACTCCACCAGCAACCAGGTGGAAAGGGACTTTCACTGGGAGTGTGGGAGGTGAACCCAGACAAAGAACTGTCCATCCTGCTAGACTGTTTGATTTGACCAGGAACAGAGAATGGCAGATCCCAGATGGGCAGTGCAAGAACAGGGTGGATTTCACAGCCCAGTCAGCCCCCTAGAGCTGAATTGGGTGCCATTTTGCGTAAGGAGGCAAAGGCAAGGGAAAGAACTGAGCATATGCTGAGCTGGGAGTGAACTCATTTCTGACTCAGTGAACTGCATCAATGTGGCATTCTACAGGTTCCACCCAAGCAGGTCTGAGTAGCCCTCAGACCTGATGGCAAGCAGGTTAAGAACTCTAGTAGAGGCACATCAGGTGCCATTTTATACAGTATAGCAAAAGTTTAGGACTGCTGGGGACAACAGTGAGCTGCGCGAGTGCTGAGCTCATGAGAACTCACTGAATTTTGTGGATTGCACTGGTCCCACATGGAAAATATTACCGGCTGTGGCATCATATGGGTCAAAATTGGTCCCTGTGGCACAAGTCCTAACAGCCAACAGGTTACAGCAAGATCAACACCACCAACAATATAGCTCTATAAGATACCTGGTGTCCCTCTAATAGTGGGACCTGCTCCAACCGAAAATGGGAGAAAGGCTGCAGAGGCAGCATTGCAAACTCAGTGTGATAAAACAGGAGGTGGAGAGTGTTGAGCCAGGAGCTGGGGCTTTGAATATGATGGTGGGGATCTAACATAAGAAAGAGACCTAAAACTCGCTGGAGGGAGTGGCACAATTGACTGCAAACAAAGAGCTGTGTACCAACTGCAATAAGTAAAATCGAACTGTAGACCTGTGGGTGACACAGCTTAGAAACCTGCCCCAAGGAGAAGAATCTGATAACTAGAAGTACAATGACCAAGAGCAAAAGAAAAGACAAAGGCACAATGAGTATTACTGAAGACTCCCCTACAAAGGAGCAAAACCCTATGCCAACCTCAGAGTTAACTGAGGAAGACATCGAGAAAATGGGGGACACAGAATTCAGAAAATTCATTATAAAGCTTCTGATCAACAATGAGAAGCACATACAAAAGTTCAAAGAATTTAAAGAATATGTTACACAAGCAATAGCAGCAATAAAGCAAATCAAGGCTGATATATCAAAAATTAAGGACATAGTAGAGCAAATTAAAAGTCCAATGGAAAGTCTCCAAAATAGAATGAAGCAAGCAGAAGAAAGAATCTCAGAATTGGAAGATATTTTCTGTCACCAGGGAGGAAGCAAACAAAAAAGCGGAAGCAGAGCTGGATCGGGCCAAAAAAAGTATTCAAGAATTGAAAGATACTATTAAGAGGCCTAATATAAGAGTTTTGGGAGACCCAGAAGGTACAGAAAGAGAACTGGTTTTACAAATATATTTAATGAAATAATAAGGGAAAATTTCCCTAATCTAGAGAAAGAATTGGGAAACAAGATCCAGGAGGGGCATAGAACTCCCAACAGGCTTGATCAAAAGCGATCTTCACCCAGACACATGATCATCAAGCTCTCTTCAATCAAACATAACAAAAAGATCCTTAAATGTGCATATGAAAAAAAAAATCAACTGACATATATAAAAGAATGCCAATTAAACTCACAGGAGACCTCTCACAGGAAATTCTACAGGCCAGAAGAGAATGGAGTAACATATTCCAGATTCTAAAAGAAAAAGCTTGTCAGCCCAGGATAACATATCCAGCAAAGCTTTCTTTTGTCTTTGAAAATGAAATAAAATTCTTCAGCAGTCAAGAAAAGTTAAAAGCATTTATCTCTTCCAAACCTGCCCTACAAATGATACTTCAAGATGTTTTCTTGACAGAAAAGAGGAATAGCACCCACCAAAACCAAAGGCAAATGGGAAGAACATCCCAGTAAAATGACAACAGGAGACTAAATCAATGAACAACCCATTCCTAAAATGACAGGACCAAATTACCACCCATACATATTAATCCTGAATGTAAATGGTTTAAGCTCAATCAAATGTCATAGATTAGTAGACTGGATTAAAAAGCAAAACCCATCTATTTATTCTCTAGAAGAGACACATTTCACAGCAAACATCAGTAGAAACTATATCTCATGGATTTTGATGTTTTTGTTTTCTGTTAGTTTCATCTCTTTAAAATAATTTCTTCTGATTAAATTATTCAGTGACTCATAGATCATACAGTAGCATCATTTTCTTCAAGAAGGTTCTAGATTTTCTTTTTCATTTCTTCAGTGACACATTAGTCATTTAGTACCACTAGTAACATGTTATTTAACTTCATGGCATTGTAAATTTCTATTTTTTTTTCTATTGTTGATTTTGTATTGTGGCTTTTCATTTGAGGGGATGTACGGTAACTTTGAAATGGAAGCTAACATATCCAGTTGTGAGGATACAATGCAGTATGCATCTGTACTTGCAGACAAAGATGGACTTACAATGAAACTGTTTACTCTGTCTTGATAATAGGATGCTGGACTCTCTGCCATTGTCCATGCCTGCAATGATGGACATATGACTGTGTTTGAAGAACTATACTTTAGTAATGACATAGAGGAACTAGGTGGTGGGAGGGTGAATTGTGGAAGAGATAAGGAAAATCCCAGAAGCTTATGGAACTGTATCATAAAATGATAATAATAATAAATTTTTAAAAAGCAAAGAAAAAAATAAAGAAGTTTAGTGCGGCAAACATGGAAAAGTAAAAGCAACATGTCATAAGTATAATAATCTCTATTTATTCTTAGCAGAGTTAGTGGTGATGATGTGAAACATTTAATACCTGTATCTCTATCTTCAACCCCTTTAGATCAGTACTAATTCCAACTCCATCTTTAAAATGCTAAAATGTAATACACAGTGGTCAGATAATTTGCACATACCACATGAATGATCTTTGGATTTGAGTCTAGCCCTTCTGATTATCAGAGCACTTTAATAAGTTTGTCTTCTTCCTTGCCCATAAGCAAAATAACAGGTTGTATTGTATTTATATCTGGGAAAATTTAGAGTAAGCATTGCTAGACAGAGACAAGGTTTTTAACGTGGAAAATGCCTTCTGGGAAGGTCATATAAGTCACAATAGCATGTGCAAGTCAACTAGAATCACCAAATATTATTTCTGTTCGTGAGACAAAACACATAGTGAGAGAAACCAGCAGAGACAGGGATGGTGCCAGCTAAATGGAAGAATTCTCTTTACTGCCAAGGGTTTAATCCATGAGTATTGGATGACCAGTAAGTTTCTGAATGCCAATCAACATTGATTCTGTAGTCACTGGCTTCTATTTTCAAGCTATCACATTTAGAGAACAAGGAGGATTATTTGGACAGAAAAGGTGAAATCTGAGTAAACTTATAGGACAATACACTAATTTAGTGATACATTTCTGAACAATGTTGCAATAGAAAGCAGACAAAAAAGGAGGAATATTCAAAATATAATTATTAGTATTTAGTATCTTTCTTAGCTATAGGAAGTGATGTTGAAGGGAAAGGAAATAGAAAGTGAATCCCAAATGTGCAACTGAACTACTGGATGTATCCTACTTCAATGAACTGAGATTAGGAACAAAGAAGAGAATGCACTCAAGGTGGTGGTGATGGGAATGCATACATCTTGGAACACCTGAACGGGTATCTCCGTGAAAGACTGGGAATACACTCTGCAGCTCCAGAGGGAATTTGGTTGAGATCTGACCGTAATCTATCTGTAAGTGGTTTGTACAGGATGAGATGAATAGTTTCATGTAGGCGTAAGCCTGTGGCCCTAAGAAAATAAGACAAAATCTGAAAATACTGATGTCTAAGTGCTAGGGATTGATAATAAAGCAGTAGTGAACAAACCAAGGATGGAATATTCAGAATGTTAAAAGAAATAATGCCGAATAAGAAACGTGCAAATCACGTGAGGATGTCCCTCATTTAAAATTTGTACTTTGAATATATATATTTTTTGAATTCTCTTTGGGAGAATTGAAATGTACAAAATTGTGACCATGTGAATATACAATTGATGCACAACCCATAATATCTTCTTTATTAAGTAATGCCTTGATATGGTGCCATCATCGTGAAGCATGAGACTAATGAAGATTTTGTTGTATTTACTGTAACTTTGTCATTACTCCACTATCTCTCCTTTCCTCTCACTCTTTCTCCCTACATTCTTCTTCTCTCATTAATCCTTCCTTCCTCTTTCCTTCTTTCTTTCATACTCATTCTTCCTCTCCTTCTTTCCTTCAAATAGAATACAGAGTAAATTAAGGGAACTTTGGTGTAGCCCTTCATGCACTGAGTGCTGGAAATCTTAAATCCATCTCTGAGAACATCGTCTATGTTAAGACCTCATTGTGCTTGTGTGAATTGACTGCATGCCTACTCTTTCCCAACCTGACAGATGCCTGGCTCACTTATTTCAAATTTGACTATTTCTTGTTGAATAATTTCTGTAAAGCGTTAAAATTATTTAGGGAAATGAAAAGGCATACACAAACAAAATATTCATATTGATTTTTAAGATTTTTTTTTCTAGCCACTTGAAAACTTAGTATGTTAGATGCTAATTGAATTGAGTCATTGATGGATTGAGTAAATAGTTTTTTCATAACTCAGCATTTCTCAGCTGCTGCAAAGAAGTTCAGAATTTCTCATGGTGATCGACTTTAATGCAGGTCCCATCTCTGTCTCCTGCAGTGACAAGGACAGTGTGTGCAGAACAATGCGACGGCAGGTGCTATGGACCCTATGTCAGTGACTGCTGCCATCGAGAGTGTGCTGGAGGCTGTTCAGGACCTAAGGACACGGATTGCTTTGTATGTCTCCAACTTCTCCCTTTGACTTCTGGGCTGCTTGTTCCCTCTATCTCAGACACCTTGAATCCTTAACATTTTATTACACCAAGATCAAGTGTACCCATTTTAGGACTAAGAAATGGCACTGTGCCCTGCCAGAAAACATTGCCTTATTGCAATGGCTACTGTTGAACTGCCTTATTTTCTCGTACTAAGTGAACTGTGTCTTTCTATGATAGTTTTTCTCACAGCTGAGATCTATTGGAGAGCATGAAAGAGAACATATTGAAATACCTTTCCCAAAAATGCAGTCACTGCATGTTTGTACTCTTGCATTATTGAGTGCCATGAATGTTTGTCATCACAATTTATTTTGTCAAACCAAATTTAAAGGCTATGACATAAATGTCAGACTTTCTCCAAGGTTATGTTGTTTTCATTGCACATTTAAAGCAATTTCCAATTTCATCTTAAGGAAAGAGGATGCTTTTCTAAAAATGGTCATTTAGAGTTAGGGACCCCTTTTAGTTATGTTTTGACATCATGTTCTTGATGTGAGACTTTTCATTGTTGGGAAGGTATATGAGTGCTTCAGTGAGGTATGTTGATTTAACTCAGTTCCATACTTGCTAAGTTCTTGTTTCATCATTAAAGTAAAAATCATTAAAAAAAATCTTACTGCTAAAACATATATTCTTCAGCTTTTCACAGTAGAATTGAACATTGTTTTTCCAACTGAACATTAATTTCATAACTAGGTGATAAAAATTAAAGTGCTAATGAATTCTAATTTCTGAATTAAAAAAAAACTTTACAGGAAACTGTCATTCTCTTCTATAGTGAAATAAAAATATAGAGCTGTATAAGAGGAGAAAGAGACAGAGGAAAGTAAGCCAAAATGCTGAAAATTAAAAATAATTCTGAGCAGGTCGTGAACTGAGAACTTTTCTCTAGTCTATTGCCAGGATAGACAGGACATAGGAGAGTTTGATTTTGACAGCAGGGAACACTGCAGGTGTTATATTATTAATTCTAAAAAAAAGCAATAATAAATATCAACAACTCTCAGAAATTTTGCACTGAATTCTTTTCATGGTTCCATTGTCATGACAAGCAGAGTGCCTAGGGAGGGACAGACTTCTTATTTCATTACTTTTATGGAATGGTCCAGTGATTCCACTGTGACGTTCGGTACAGAATATTCAAGAATTCCAGACAGAGGCCTTGATGTAAGTTATGTTTTTTGTTTGCTGTCTTAAAGGCAAAGTGTTTATCCTTCTGGCATATGTTCTTTCAGACCCAATCTGTGTACTGCACTGGGCAAAGTATGTCAGCAAAGCAATTAGAAGGACATAGTGAGTTTTATGTCCATAAATTAAAACTCACTGAGTTTCCCAGATTAGTTTTTAATAGATTATTTCTGGAAACTGTCATCTTAGTGACAAAAACATCATCAGTGAGTCTCATTCTGTTATGTATCGAGTAGACCATCATCGGTGAAATGTCCTGTTTGTGACAAAGTGTTTGCAAAAACAACAATTGATGAAGTAAATGTTATGAGGAAACAGTGAACTAATGCTTATTAATCATGGATATTATGACAATTTATGATGAAATGCAAAGCATAATCTTAGTTCACATTAACTTTCCTTCCTAAATTGTTTTCTATGGAGGCTTAATTTCTTAGTTAAGAGTATTAGTTCGTCAGTCCTTTTGTTAATGTTCTAATGTATTAATACGTATTTCCTAATACGTATTTCCTGACTCTCCAGTGGTTTTTAGTTCTTCAATTAAATTGATGTATTCTTAATGTACATGTATGTCGGCAGAAATAAAAAATGTCTTCTTTGAATGTGTACTGAGTTTTACAAATGGTATGGCACGTTGAAAGAAGTCAAGCAAGAAATGATGTCACTGCAGCTAACTATAACTGGTTTATCTCGGTACATCTTGGCATTAAGTGCATTGCATTTGTACTCAGTTGGTCACTGGTCAGCGAATTTCTTTAATTTAAATGGCCACCACTTTTCTCACCACTCAATAGTAATCTCTGTGTTTTGTGTATTACCTAACATACTTCAGTCTCCAAATATTAACTCCAAAGAATGTCAAACCTATTGAACTGCAGACTTAGTTGTCAGTGGTAGGCCATAAGAATAGCACAACATCTTCTAATAAATATGAGTTTAAGGCCAGGAAGTATTATGGCCCTAAAACTTTATACATGAAATACATTGAAGTTTTAAAATAATTTTAAAAATAAGTAAAAACGTAAAATATAAAATGTATGGTTACTTGGTACTAAAATATAACACTTAAGGGAATAAAGAGTGTATTAAATCAAAGGTTCATTTATCCCTTTGAGCTAACAAAGAATTTAAACCAATGTTCAATGTCTAAATTAGTGGATGATTTTTAAGTAGTTTAAAAATCAGTAAGTGATATATTTACTGACATTAGACCAAAAATTTTATGAAATTTTTTAAATGCAAAAATGGCCATACAATTATTAAATTTGCCATGTTAACGAAATTTTTCTATGCTAAGAATGCAACATTCTCATAAAACTGTTATAGCAGTACTGTTTAACTACTAAGTGTTAAGAAATTTATTTGGAAATGAAAGCATTTTTTCCTATATTTCAGGCCTGCATGAATTTTAATGACAGTGGAGCATGTGTTACTCAGTGTCCCCAAACCTTTGTCTACAATCCAACCACTTTTCAGTTGGAGCATAACTTCAATGCAAAGTATACCTACGGAGCATTCTGTGTCAAGAAATGCCCACGTAAGTAACACTGCAAAAATAGCCAAATTAAGTAGGTCATCCTTCAAAAACACTGGGATTTTATTCACGTTAGCATAAATTTGAAACATCTAATAACATGTAAACTTCTAATGGTGTGAATTACTTTAGATGTTGTTACTATGATTTTTATTCTAAGATCAGGCTACTTTTGTGTCCATACGAAATAAGCAATCAATATCATAACCCAGAATGCTAACCTGGGATAGGATTTTTTCTTACAGACAGTCCTTCAAGGCCATTCCTAAGTGAGGTCAGAGAAAGTGCCATTTCATTTCAACTTACACCCACATACCAACTTCCATGTTTACTTTCCTCTCTCAGTTTATCAGAAGTGCCCCACCCCAATTTGAATGTAACCATAGGTATGAGCTAAGTGTGAAATCCTATCCTACTGGATGATAACACGAGGTTCATAAACACCTGTTTCTGCAATTTATTTGTGCTATCATTCATACCCAATCCCAAATATGTTACTTCCGCTTTATGAATTTGCTGTTGGATCAGGCCAACAAAATCTATTTCAAATAAATCTTTCTTCATGATGGCCAATGGTGGTCACTAGGTTAATCATGGAACAACTATTAGATATTCCATCCCTACCAGAACCCAGAGTATGGCAGGAACTTTTTCGTAAATGGTATACAATCCCATACTATTGATAGCCTGACTTTAACTCTAAAAAACGATGGGTCTCTGCTATGATTTTCCAATTACTATAACCCCACATGGTATGTTTGCCCACCATAGGTAATTCCAACCTAGTAAAACAGAATCCCTTGTGTCTTATTGTCCAAGTAGCACAATTGCTTCTAAGAAAGCCTGGCCCTGTGCCATGTAATTATCCTTGGTGTGAATCCCTTAAGTCTAGAAATCCTCTATACTATTGCATATTGGGCCAAAGCTACATAGTCAGGCATGGAGATTGCTACTGTAAAATATGCAGTGTCCCAGAGAATGCTGCATTTTCCCTTGCTATGGAAGATTATACATGTATGTATATATTTATGAATGTATACACACATGTATATATTAGAGGGGTTGTCTTGGAATACCCTAGATCACTGGAATTCTCAAATTTTCACTTAAGTGTAAGGTAGGATTTTTTTGTGTGTGTGTTTCCATATTTTCCCAAAGTACTATGTTTTCCATATTTTTTTAAATGGAAAAATACAAAACACTTCCATGGCACTCTGAGAATGCATGGTAAGCATTTCTTCCTGCGTATGAACTGCACTCACTCAATTCAAGGCAGTTTGAATTAATCTTCATTTGTGCTACGTAACCTTGAGATATTTTTAGACTTCAAGCTTGCATCATGACATGAAATGGACTGGAACTATTGAAAAATACAAAGTAAATGTCATGTCAGTTCCTAAGAAATCCACTCTATCTTGGGGTTGAATTCAGCATGTAGAATGCAGCTACACAAGTCTAGTCATCCTTTACACGGACTGCCCAGGGATCTGAATACAGAATGCTTCTAAATTGAGTGCATAGAAAGAGTTGTTTGAGGAAGAGACATATATGCTCAAGAATGCTAATCATTATCAAACCCTAGAACACTTTGTTTTGAACTTTGCGTGCTGAGAACTAACAGCTATTTTACTTTTTCTCTAAAAATTCAGATAATTTTGTCGTAGATTCCAGTTCTTGTGTACGTGCCTGTCCCAGTTCCAAGATGGAAGTAGAAGAAAATGGTATTAAAATGTGCAAACCTTGTACTGACATTTGCCCAAAAGGTGTGTAATATTTGAATTTATTTTGATTAGAACAAGGGACTATACCTAGGTTCTTCATTTAAAAAAAATACATGTTTATTTGAAAGACATACAGAGAACAGAAAGAAGGAGCAAGAGTGTGAGAGAGAAATTTCTATGTATTCTTTTTCTATTTTTACTTGTTCACTCCCCAAAGTCTGCAAAGTCAAGAATTGGGCCAGATTGAAGCCAGAAACCAGGAGCTTCCACTGGGTCTCTGCAAGGTTACAGCACCCCACGATTTTGTGACATCACCCGTTACTCTCCAAGGAACATTAACAGGGAACTGAGTCAGAAGTGGAACAGCAGGGAAAAGAACTGGTGTTCACATGGATTGCCAGCATATGAGGCAGCAGCTTAACTTGCTGTGCCACAGCACTGGCCCCTCGATCGTGTTGAGTAAGCTAATAAAATGACCTTCTCAGCACATACCTGCTCAGATAACCAAACATGTTCATACACACTTTCTACCACTAGGCAGTCCCTAAAGTCTAACCTATCCTGTTAGTATAATTTACAGGTTTTCAATTGTGTGTATATGTACTAGAATGGTCAGAAGAAAAATTAGGTAGGAATTAGGAATGAGTTACTTAATCTTATCTGTTGCACATATTAAGGTTTTTGCACAAAACAAGAGGCAACATGATTATTTTAGCACCTACTATATATATTTACTTGCTTGTCACGATATACTCAGTGCTCTCTTAAGTTAAAAAAATATCAGGGGGGGTGGGTGGTGTATGTTCAAAAAGAAGATAAGGGATGTAACACGTTTTCCAAAACTGTTAAATAACTGTTGTAGATAACTCTAGAGTTTTAGTGGAGGAAGATCGTGTCCAGGTTCAGGCACACAAATTCCTCACCAGAATGTTAGTTAAATTAAGCAAGACAGAAACAATGTACATGTTTAACAAGCTCCTAAGGGTTTTCTTATTTTGTTTTGTTTTAGATTTTCAAAGTAATATCTTGGAAAAGAGTAACCTTCAGACATACTTTTGAAATGTAGTGTTCTCTCTCCCTTTTCTTAAATAGTCTTTAGAAAGCATAAATAATAATCAATAAGTATAAATATAAAAGTGGCTACTGACTCTGGTTTACAACAGCCTTATGTTGTTCTTTTAAAATGAAAGCACAGTGATTTTTGGCCAGAAGTAAGTTTTCCAGCCCCTGACTGTGGTTCTTGTTTCTGCAGCTTGTGATGGTATTGGCACAGGATCACTGATGTCAGCCCAGACTGTGGATGCCAGCAACATTGACAAATTCATAAACTGCACGAAGATCAATGGGAATTTGATCTTCCTTGTCACTGGTATTCACGGGTCAGTATTAAATTTCTTTACAAGACTTTTTTTTTTAAAATATAAACATAGTTGGAGAGATTGTATAGCTTTGTTAATTTGGTGCCTCATGTCCCAGAAGAGTTTTATGTTTCATTAATGTCCTCTGCCTGCAAAAGTAAGGGCAGATCACTGTCACAATGGCAAACTGGAGTTTTCACGTGTCTCTGCTTTGATTTGAAAATATTAATCTGTATTTGTCTAAAGCACGTTTATAAACATTTTCCTCAAAGACACAGCTTTTAGAAGACTTGGCCCCATCGCATCTGTGTTTATTAAGAAGTGTGGATATGTAAGATAGGGAATTTCAGATTCCTAATTTAATAGGTAAAGATACATAAACTAATTCAACATGTTTGCTTTCAAATGACACAAATCAATAAGCTAAAATTTGCATGAATTCTTACAGAAATTCTCAGTCCTGAGACAGTTTCTTTTCTAAGTTGGAATTGACTGCTAAAGTAAAAGAAATTGATTTCATTTTTGTGCTAAAACATGTGACATTGTCAGGATGCCTCCAATACAGAACCACCTGCTGGTTTTAACTGTGTAAAGAAGCAAGTTGGTATTCTTTAAACTGTAATAAAAATGTCAGTATTTTTACTTTATATTTTATCTATTTGTGTATGCTACTACTGAATTCCTAAATGTTAGTGCTACAGGCAAAAATAAAAGAATAGCACTTAGATATTTCAATTCAAAATCTCATTCTGAAAATATATCGTCTCATTTCTAGAAGCAAAATAATTTAACACATTATGATTAAATATGTCCACATGGAAATAGCAAAAGCAGTAGAAAAATTTGTTTGCATTCCAGTGATGTAACTCGTGTGTTATTGCATAAAGCTCTCTCCCTATTGTAACAGTTTTCAGTATGGGCCTTTACCTAATACTATATATACACCGTTCAGATTTGAGTCCCAAGAAATATTTTCTAAAATTAGGACTAAACTTTCTGATTTCTCCTTTAAAAAAAAAAAACATTTAGCACTAGTGTTCTTCTGTCTAGAATCCTATTGCTACAGTCAGTTGGAACTGGGTAACACCAACAAGCCATTTTGACATGGGACTCATATCACTAACGTGACCACAGTTCAGCTGAAATTGAATCCATTTACATTATTGCTTTAGCCTCTGACTCATTTGCCATGAGATAATATTTAAGTGTATCTTACTAAATATAGCATTTAGTGAAGGTAATATATCTACATTTTAACTTTTCAAAATCATATAGCGCAGATGAAAGATCATATCCTGATAATAAATGTCTTCTTAGAAACAGAATACAGTCAGTTGACTCATAGTGCCTATATCTATGTGTAAGTAATACATGTATGTCTAATTTGTCAAAACAGATCTAGGTCTATCAGTGTGTGGAGTGATTTGAAACCATATGCTCATGAATCACATGAGAAAGGTCGTTATACATATCAGGCTGCACATATCTCTTTCCTATACCAAGATTTTGACATTCTTTATTAATCTGAACAGAAAATGTCTAGATAATATAGCCTAGCTGCATGCATAATTTTTTTAAAAAATCATAATTCTGTGGATGTATTTTAAAGTAGACATGTGATAAAAAGCATTGGTTGGACAACTCTCAGTTTCAGTTTATAATGAGAGTAAGGTTTGGTTAGAAAGGAGTTAAATAATTACTCCATATAATATTACAGAGAAAAAAATGAGCAGCTGAACAGCTGATCAATAGAATAGAAAAGAACTGACTGGACATGTTATCATATGACAAAAGAATGAGGAAAAAGATTTTCCTGGAAATCAGGCCAAAATGACTAGAAACACCTACAAAGTGTGTCCAAGCATGAAGGTTTCCATACACAAAATCCTGAATGAGTGATGGGACCATCCTAGGACTGTGTAACACATGCAGCAATCCTTTGCTGTGAAAGACATTGAACAGTCTGCAGCTCAGGTTACCAGGTTATTACTAAAGGCCAAAAAATAGCCTCAAAATTTGGTTATAACTGAAACACCATGGCAGACGTGCCAGTTCCCCTGTAGTGAGATGGTACTGCCTGCATACAGAACTACTGCCACAATTTTGTAATGGTCAAGGGATAGTGAACCAATAAAGGGATCTAATGATTGCATTGCTTATATTCAAATTATAGCTGAAAAAGTTTGAAAAACAATTGATCAGATGATGTCTGGAATAGCTAATTTAGTCTTGGGTCATCATGGAACCTATTCATTAAAATCGTGGATTTATGCTATTTAAAAACTATTGTACGCATTATACATATAATTATCAGTGACCTAGATTCAGGTATATTCACTTAAGTAGATATAATATATGGACATGGGTATCTGTGAGTTAAAAATACACTGTAGAGTAGGGGCTTTGCATTCACAAGCTTACAGAATATTATAAACCTACTAATTCAACTTTCTAAGGAGAACAAATCATCCTGATAAATCCATACGAAAAGTGATTTTCAAAATAATTCTGCTGAGAGGTGTGGGTGTGGCTTTGGCTGGGACAACCCACACCGAGCCAGGCTTCCTGCTGGAATCCTAGCTCCCTGTCCACCACTGCGGAGTGGTAGGCAAATACTGGGTTTGTGGGCTTTGCCCACTGGCTGCCCGGCAGCGAGCTCTAGGATCTGGAGGGTCTGGAATTACTGCCGAGGGACATCGATGAATAAAGCCACAGTACATGTAGCTAAGGAACAAATCCTGAGGGACACTCAATGACAGGGTCACTGTACTTGCAGGTAAGCGAGGGGACTGAGACCTGTGGTTTGTAGGGAAGAGACGGAAGATCTGTGTTGATCTTTATTGGTCAGACTCATGTACCAGCTCACATGGGAGTCTGGAGTTGGGCTTGTTAGCATGGAATATTTCTGACCATCACATGACAGTCCATGTGAAAGCTAGGGTTGGGGGCCTAAGAGGATCGTAACCCATTACCTGACTGAATGTCAGAACAGAGTACTGGTCACATTAGTCAGGGCCATGAAACTAACCAGCACACGAGAGAACCAGGTCCAGTGGTAGATTCTGTGAGGGATATGTGGGCCAAACCCTGTGGAAAAACATGTCCCGCTGGTTAGCTCAAAAGTTGGGGTGGTGAAGGGCTGAGCTTAGCTATGATCATGGAACCTGCCAATACTCACAGGTACAGGGACCAAGAATAGTCTGGGTGCATCCGGGTCGCAGCACTCATTTGTGCATCCTAAAATAGGGTGTAGAGCGGGCTGGGTCGCAACATTCACCTAGATGAAGGAGCAAGAGCCTAGCACCCACAGGCATGGATGAGATCTGGGTCTGGGAGTGGCCTAAGTGGGGGGACTTGGGAAAATCCCAAGTGGGTCATAGTTCCTGTTGGTGAGCCCATTATCCAGCCCTTGGAATCATGCAGGCTGGGCAAGGTAGTTCCAACTGTTGGCTAATCTGTTGGTTGGTTTTGGAAGGGGTTAAACTGGGCATTGCCGAGCAAACCCTAGCTCATCAGCAAGTGCAGAAACCAGTGCAGGTCATGCTGGACTAGGCTGTCACACCTACCAATCTGCATGAGCCAGGGATGGGAGCAGACTGAACAGGGCCAGGTTGCAGCACCCACCAGTGAGAGTTGGGATTGGGGACAGGCTGGATCAGGCCAGGCTACAGCATCCAAAGGCAAAATCCAATATAGGTGAGGGGCTATGCTAAGCTGGGTCAGAGCAACCACTGGCATGAACAATATGTGACTGGGTGAAAGCCTGGTTTGGGAGATAAGGGAATGCCCTGGCTGGACTGTGGTTCCCACTGGTGAGTGTGAAGGCCAGAGTTGGGGCTGCTGTCTAGTGTGGGCAGGGTTGCAATGTTCCTCAGCACAAATGTGAGCTGGGCATGGGGTATACCAGACTGGGCTCAACTCCAACACCCACTGGTGTTTGTGAGAACGAGGTTAGGTATAGGACTGGCCAGGCTAGATCTCAGCCCACGCTGAGCCACGTGTGAGCTGTGTCTGGGTGTGGACCAGGCTTGGCTGGGCTGTAGCACCCAACAGTAAAAACCAGAATGGGTAAAGGCCAGTCAGGAAAGGCCACTGTTCCTGCTAGGACAGGAAGTAGACTAAGTAGGGCTGGCCCATGGACCCACTGGTGTGCAAGATATTTGGTACTGAGAGAGGTTCTGATGGAGGAGCTTAGGGAACTCCTCTGTTGGGACACAATCCCTGCAGGTGAGTACAAGAACCATGATAGGGAGCAGCCTGTATGAGGCTAAGGAACAATAACCACTGGCATATATTTGGTGCAGGTTGGGGGCAAACCAAGCTGGGCCAGTTCATACCACCTGCTTTGAATCTGAGCACAAGAATGGAGTATGGGTTGGGCCAGGTTAGGTCACAACACTAGACAGTTCCCCTGAGGGCCAGGACTGGAAGCCTGTTTGGCTGTGCTAGGTTGTAGCCACCACCAGCGTGAGTTTGAATTGGGGGTTGGCCGAGCCCTGCTAGGCTACAGCACCCACTGGCAAATGTGGAGGAGAGGCAGACTAGGCTAAACTGGGCCACAGCACCAAACTAGCACATGTGAGACCCGGTAGGGAGTCGGGGTGTGGATGATGGTAGGGGATGCTTCATGGGGCTCTCCTGCTGGACCACCACTCCCACTGGAGAGTGTGAGTTGGGATGGGGGCAGACAAAACTGGGCAGGTTACAACACCTGTTGGCCTCATGTAGGCTGGATAAGGGGAAAGTCAGGCTGAGTTGACTGCTCTACTGGCACATGAATAAGCAGGGTGAGTGTGGGTTGGTTGGGCTTGGCCGAGGCATCAGCTGACAGATGCTGCCATGGCTATAAATTCTGTCAAGTTCAACTGCAAGGTTCAGGAGTGGTAGTGGGCACAGTAGGGAAATAGTGGGCACCTTGCTCTTGGGTTGTCCCTCCAACTGGTTAGCATGAGAACCATGACTGGGACAGGCATGGCTACACAGAGTGGCACCTGCTGGCAGGTGTGTGGGCTGGATAGTGG